GACACCAAAGGATGAAGTTTGGTTAGCATGGTAGATTTTAGTGTGGGCTTTTCAAGGAGACTTTGGGGGAAAATTCCCACTGTTTGTGAGTCATGTGAGGGGCTGGGAGAAATGGGAGTGGGAATCTGTCCCATGGTTTTGACACAGGCAGTGTCTGTGTGTGAAAATGTATCATCTTATTAAAAGATGCATTTTGAAATTCACCCTTTTACCTCAACTCAGGAGTCTACTGAAGCAGCCCCCCCCCCACCAGAGTCAGCTGGGCTGGCCCCTCTCCTCCCCATGGCTCTGCTCCCACTGGGCCCAAGGCAAGGATTAGGCTGGTCCTGGGAGGCCTACTGTTGTTCACCATTAACCGCAACATCCATTCATGGGACCAGCACTACTCGCGGGATGTGACTGAAAAGCAACTTTCTTTTTGTCATCCACTGCTCCTCCAAAGTTTATTCCATGAAGAAAGCTCTTTCCTATCATTAGATAAACATTCTGAGGACTCCAGAATTTTTCTGCTTACTCTGCGGTATTAGATCACTCTATGGGTGTTTTAAATCATGAAATACAATCTCATTTCAGAAATTAAGTGTCTGGGCTAAGTAACCAGAATGTTAACATTATATTAACAACATGCCTTCCCACGCCCAGCCTCTGGGAAGAGCGAGCTCAGGAGACAGCACAGTTCTCAGCAGGCTCTCGCTGTTACCATCCTCTCGGCCATCCCAGCTTCCCAGGCCGTCTTGGAGCGAACTTAGAATGCCTCCCAGCCTGCTCCCTCTGCCTTGAAGCCTACATTTGTTGTTCCCTGCTCTCTGTAAAAGTGCAGTTCTTTCCTAAATGCAGCTTTAATTTTCCTTCTCTACTTACCCATCTGCCAAGTCGACTGCAGCTTTCTCAGGAGTTCCCCAAATGCAGGTCCCAGAGTGTTCACACCACGAAAACAAGCAAGCACTACAAGTTAGAATTTCATTCTCCCCCTTCCCACCCAATGCTGGTGACTTTTTTTTTTTTTTTTTTGAGACAGAGTCTTACTCTGTTGCCTGGGCATGTGCCGTGGCATCAGCCTAGCTCACAGCAACCTCAAACTCCTGGGCACAAGCGATCCTCTTGCCTCAGCCTCCTGAGTAGCTGGGACTACAGGCATGTGCCACCATGCCCGACTAATTATATATACATATATATATATTTTTTTTAGTTGTCCAGCCAATTTCTATTTTTTTAGTAGAGACGGGGGTCTCACTCTTGCTCAGGCTGGTCTTGAACTCCTGAGCTCAAATGGTCCGCCCACCTCAGCCTCCCAGAGTGCTAGGATTATAGGCGTGAGCCACCACGCCTGGCCTGGTTACTAACATTTACTGGCATACCACTCCATGCAATTACAAATGCAACAAATCTTACTGTTATATATCTCTATATTTGGAGTCTTCATATGACATGCTGGAAGACAAGGAGCTATGATAAAGAAGAGGCCTTCACTTCACTTAGGAATATCCCAGGGAGAAGCCAGCAAAGGTGTGCTGAAGGGAAGGACAATAGACTTCTCAGGGCCAGACTTCTCACCTGTTTTCTAAGAAAGTAATTTCCTAGCAGATGTAGGAGAGGAGTGGGTCTATGTTCCTCGGAGTGGGGACACAGGCTGGGTGGTTAGAGAGTGGCCTACTGAGGCTAGGCAGCCCCATTTTCAGGCCTAGAGAGGTCTCAGCTCTCACAGGACTTTCACAGCACCCACAAACAGGAAAGTACACTCCAGCCGAGCCCCAAGGCATTCCAGCCCCACACGCAGTGTCGCCTCTGGGGCCGTGTGGCTGTGCTCAACTAGCCCTGTGGCTGGGGCCCTGTGGCTGTGCTCAACTAGGGCCCTGTGGCTGTGCTCAACATAGGCAGAATCTATGACAGTGATGGCCACCACGAGAGGAGGAAACAGAGGGGCTTTGGGGAGCACTCTGGGGTGATTGAAGCCTTCCTCGGAGCAGGCAAGGCCAGGAAGGCCTTTGCTATCTGCCTGCAGTAGGCATGCAGTCTAAGTTTTTGCTCATCTGGCTTGGCAACTTTCCCCATAGTAGTGGGGATGTACCAGACTAGGAGGATGAAGCCAAGATTGGTGAGAACGCCAGGCTCAGGGTATGGAGGGCCCGTTCCCAATTGTGACAAATATGATTGATTCGTAAAGAGGAAAAGGGAACAGAGAGAAGCCTTTACCAAAACAGTAAGACACCTTGGGCAACAGCACAGTGAATGACGGATTGGCAGTGCCAGGCCCTGAAGGGCCATGAGCTGTGCTGGGGGTGAGGAAACAGAGCCCCGGGAGGCAGAGTGAATTTCCCCAGTAAGTCCATGACCCATGAAGCCCAGTTGAGAATCTATCACCTTGATTCCTAAGGCAGGAAAACATTTATAAATCAAATCCATTCTGTTTTCTCTATTTCTCCAGATTAATTTTTTTCTTGGACTCATTATCTTTACCAAATCTGGGTCTAATTAGATTTTTTTCCTATTGCTACCAGCCATGTGTAGCCCCATTAGCTTTCTATTACTTTTAGAGAATCCTTCCTTTACACTAAAAATTAAGCCTAACTTGCCATTCTTAAAAACGTTTAAATTTCCACACAAGTTCCCTTGACCTGGTTTTCTTTTGTCCTCTTGGGGCACAGAATCCCTGGTAATGACACCTCATGATTCACTGCAGAAGACAGGAAGACACTGATGTCAAAAGGCAGAGAAGGGACAGCACCTGAGCAGAGCCAGCTTTTTTCCTTCCCCAGATCACAAACGATGTGGGAGAGAAGTTGCCAAACCCTAGCCTCGCTTGATTTTTAGACATCAATGTAGGAAAGTATGACGCAAGGAAGATAAAATTAAATCCTAATTCAAAGAAATGCATTTGATTTGAATGTTGGATAAATGGCAGCTCTAGTATGAGGCAGTAATAAATTATATATTTTAACATCCAAATTTAGAAAAGGAGTGAAGGCAAAACATGTGCCAAGGAGTCTGGGAACAACACCCCCAACCCATCCAAGCCTTCTTAGGCTTAAATGATAATTATCCCAGATCTGGAGGTAAAGGGCATCCTGAAACCAAAAGTAAGATCTGTCTCCAGTATTCGCCCCCAGTCTGACTTGCCATGGAGTCTTAAGCCTGGGGTCACAGGCTCAAATCTATCCTGTCGGGCTGGCAAAGACCTGATGGTTCTACCAACTTAGATCTCTCGGAGCTTATTTAAAATGGGCAAAGAGATTGTGCCTCCACCCCCAAATTGTTATGTCTATTGCTATGCTACCATCTAATGGTGAGGTGCATTAAAACACAAATGTAACCTGGTCCAGGGACCACTGACTACACTTAATTTTTTTTTTCATGGTGAATAGTTTCAACCTATCTATCTCTCTAAATAAGTCATCAATTTTTCTCCACAGTTCTTAAATTTCTGGCAGGGATAGAATAATGAAGTCTGTAATTTAATTATCTGGAAAAAAATTATGTAACATTAGAGAGGACAGAAAGATTTCTAAAACACTCCCAAAGTGTATATCATCAAAGAAAATTATTATTTTAAGACAGAAACTGTTTAAAGTTTCCCATGTATGAAAATGTAATAACGACAGAAAGATAAATACAGTACAGTATGTGCATAATACAGTATCATCTTACGGAAACGATAAAAATTAAACCTTAACCCAATGCAGAGACTATCCACTGCTCTAAAAATAAAGTCCCTTAGCAAAAATCAAGTTTTATTGTTATGTAACAAAAAAGACAGCAGATTGCCAACCCTTTACCCTCTGCTCCTGCTGATTAAGGTTTCAGATTATTACAATCTATTTGGGGATTTTCCTCCCAGTGCTAAATTCTGGAAGCAGGAATCATTTGGGGAAATTTACTGAGCAATGAAACAAAGAATGGTCCTTCCCACTCCCAAGCTCTCTCTTTTCTCCAAACACACAGGATGCACATATCAGGGATTTTCCACTTCCTGAGCAATTTCATTTGTGTCACCAATAACTCAAACTCTAAACCACATCAGAAAACAGCCAGGTCCCCGAGAACTCCTGGGACATGGCTAGATGGTCCACAGTGCTTTGAGGCTTGCTGCAAAGCCCCCAGAGAGCAATCCTCCATGGTCTTGGAGGGTGGCATGGACAGATGACAACCAAATAATCAACCAGCTTCTGGGGCACAAACTGCCACGGGAACATCAAGCAAGGTGGGTAGGTAGAATTAGGATACCTTGAAATGTGGCTTCCAACACCAGTTATGCTGGGGTGTTTGGAGACATGTATTAGTAAACTTAAAAACAAGCTAGAAATGCAAATTTCAAGTTGATTTCCAATCAAGAGGAGTGCGCAAGGTCCCCATAAGACCAGAGAATACACCGCTGGGCTGGGCTGCACACTGATGTGCCCCTTCCCACAGAGCACCTCTCCCTCCCCATGACTACTGCCGCACACAGTAGTGGGAATTGTATAGTGCTGAGTTATAAGCATACCTCAAAGCACAGAACTGTACACAACTACCATCGCTCTTCCTCTCCTGGCTTTATTTTCACCCCAGCACACAGAAAAGATACAACCAGCAGCCATATCTTCTAAATCAGTGGTCCTTAAAGTTGTTTCCAATCAGCAGCAGCATCACCCAGGAACTTGTCAGAAATGCAAAGTCTCAGCTTTACCCCAATCCTACTGAATCAGAAACTTTGGGGGTAGGGTCCACAAATCTGTGCGTTAACAAGTTCTCTGGGTGATTCTGATACGCACATGAGCTCGAGAACCACTGTTCTAAATGAAGACACAGAAGGAACACACAGGGATACGGTTTGTTGGTGACAGATGGCAAACCAGAGTGCAGCCAAGGCTAGTCAGAACTTGAAGGTCTGGAATTAACACTTTCATCGTGTGCCCTCAGCTCCCCTCAACGTGTTACAGCTCTCTTCCCGTCTTCTGATCTTTTGCCCCCCTTCCTTGTTCTCCTCCTGCTTTTATGTCCCTGGTAGGACTCCAAAAGCGTCCAATCAACTATAAGCTTTAACATCCAATCAGCAACAGGGGGATTCAAAAATTACCCAATCAGGATCATGCAAGCAGGGAGGTCGAGGCCGGATTACAGGAGGCTGCAGAGCACAAGTGCAGCCCCATAGCCACGGTGGCACGTGGGCCGGGAGCATTCCAGCACTCGGGGCGAGGCTCTACCGCGGTGCGGCCCACCAGCGCGCCCCCACCCGGCCACTCGCAGCGCTGGCCGCTGGCCGGCAGAGATGCGGAGCCCCGGGGAGGCAGCAAGTGGCAGATTCGCAGCCCCCACATTTTCCGTGTCAAAACGATGTGTCATCTTGGTCCAGACTACCCCAGCAGCTCTAGTGAGGTCGACCATCTCAAGAGCCGGGTATTCTCTCTGGGAACTGGAGCAAAGCCACTGGAGCACAGCTGGTTATCTGAGGTAGAGTTAAATAGACAGGTCCCTGGAGACCCTATATCTCCTTATTTTGTTTTTTAATCTTTTAGGATCGGTGGTTCACTTCCTAGTCCAGCAAGAATGGTTGGCAAGCCTCGGCCGTTAGGTGGGAGAAACCCTGCCCTGGAACACTGAGATCTCGTGCACAAAGGAAACACCAAGGTCGGCTGACAGCTTGGGAACCGAGATAGCAACAGAACCACCAACGTGACCCCAGGAAAGAGGAGGAAAAGCCATTTATTGTAGAGTTGCTCTTTTCTGATAAATATAAAAGTTATAAAAAAGTCTAAATAATACTGTAACTAAAACCCACCGCCTAGAATTCGTAACTTTTAACACTGAGGCAAATTAGAAAGCAGGTTTTTCAAAGCTGTGAAAAGACTGCATCTGGCACGGAGCTGAGGAGAGGGGAGGAGAACAAAAAGGAGGCAATTAGAATAGAGAGAAACAAGCTAAGTATTTTTGAAATATTTTTTAACAAAGAATTTCCTCGGTTCTTTTATCACAAAACATTTAGAATATGAAGTTGCCACATAGCTGCTAATAATAGCTTGTAAATTTGCCTAGCTGGAGGCTGGAGAGTTGGAATTTACAAATAACGAAGAGCAGAAAAATAGCTGGATAGGAAGCCAGCTCTTTTCCTTGGGAATAAATACAATATGCTTTTGTACCGCCCATCCCCCACCCCCTCCTTGAATTGAGCAGGGAAGAAATCAGGCTGGTCCAAGAGAAATCAGGCTAAAGATCATGTTTGTGCAAGGCTTTCCCTCACTGTTCATGACGTTGGGACCAAAGTCTGGAAATCCCAGAAGAGGGAACCGTCACGTGGGCATTCCCTTGCTGGTTCAAACTACCACTTGGTGTTACCCACCAAAGCAGAGAGGCAGTAAGAACATGTGCTGATGTAATGTTCATGAGCCACTAGTGCTCATTCCAGGGTGGGGAAAGGATAGAGGTGTCCAGGCTGGAAGGCCGGTTCCCAAAGAGGACAAAGCCACATGGTGCTGAGCTGGCCAAGGGAGCAGGTGGGAGGGGCTGTCATCTTTCCTCCAATCCAAGCAATTTTGCAGCTGTCAGGGTAGCCCTTATGGCAACATCCAGAACCTCTGAAATGATATCATATGATATCACCTGTGGCTCTGAGGACATGTTTTCTGTTATTTCATAAGCTCATTCCATTACTAAAGAAAAAAAAATGTTAAAATACTCATTTTTTTCTGTTAACCACAGCAGAGAACCTCTTCCTTGATTAAATAAATTCATTTTGCCTACAGGCAGGGCAAGGATAGAGGTGGGCAGGGGACTTCCTTTTGCTGTATAAGAGGCCAGAGGAGGGGAAATCTAGACTGGACAACCACTGGGTACCTCCCTTTTGTGTATAAATTGGCACATCTGATGTACTCCTTGGGAATTTAGTAACCTTCCTGTGCCTCTCACCCAGGTGCACAGCTGTGTTGTAACAGCACGTCAGAACTCTAACACCTGGCACACCCCGCCCCGCCTTTAGAGAAACACTATGTGCCATCACAGTCACCAGCTTTGGAGGACCAAGTGCAGTGACCACCCCCAGCTGCTGTGTGTAGTCCTAGATCCTTCAGAACCTCAGTGGAAGCAACAGGAGCCCGCTTGCCACTGCCAGAGCAAACTGCCAAGGACGCCTGCAGAAATGTTCAGGCCCATTAAAAACCAGTAACAAGAAATGGATTTTTCACCTGGTTTCCTATGCAAAAAAAAAAAAAAAAATATATATATATATATATAAATAAGGGGGAAAAAAGAGTGTAGAATACATGTGTGTGGCCATGTGTGCATTGCTCTTACCTCAAATTAGAAATTCATTCCTTCAGCCAATAAACATTTTTGACACCTACTATGGAAAAAGCTCTGTGCTAGATTCTGTTAACAAATGTGAGTGAGGCATAGTTCCTGACTTCCAAGAGCTCACAATCTGGAGGAGAAAATCACACACAAAAACCAAAAAATCGTATTATAAGTTTGATAATAAAGGCTTATTCATCTATTCAACAAAGATTTATTGTGCACAATGTGCCAGCCTCAAGTATGAACAAATAATTTTGAGAGCACAGAGGCCAAATATAACCATTCCTCTTTCACATATGGAAGATGTGATTGAAATAGAGCTCCCATGTATATAGTCTGCAAGGATGAGAGCCATATCTTTCTGTATACCCATCATACCTGATGTGTGCCTGGCAAACATTCAATCAATACGCATGATAAAGAACAGATTTTCTGCCCTGTTATTCGTCAGGCATTCTCACCCTCATCTTTCTTCGCCATCTAGTCACCAATTCTAGAAACACTTACTAAGCACCTGCACATATGCTGGGAGCAGGGGCTACAGAAACAAGAAGGTCTCTGAAGAGCACAGTGAAGCTCAACAGAAACTCAAAGGATGTGCTAGAATAAAACCAAGTTGTATATGTCAGAGGGAAAGCATTTCAGGCAGAGAGGACAGTTTCAGAAAGACAGAGAACTGGGCTGGGCACAGTGTCTCACACCTATAATCCTAGTACTCTGGGAGGCCGAGGTGGGAGGATCACTGGAGGTCAGGGGTTCGAGACCAACCTAAGCAAGAGCAAGACCCTGTCTCTACTAAAAGTAGAAAAATTAGCCAGGCGTGGTGGCGTGTGCCTGTAGTCCCAGCTACTCGGGAGGCTGAGGCAGGAGGATCGCTTGAGCCCAGGAATTTGAGGTTGCTGTGAGCTAAGGTTGGCTGACACGACGGCACTCTAGCCTGGGCAACAGAGCAAGACTCTGTCTCAAAAAAAAAAAAGAAAGAAAGAAAATGGAGAACTGGTGCAGCTTAAACACATGGGGGCCTCAAAGCTGTTCACTGTCCTGTGATTTGCAGTTGTAAAAACTTGATGTTGGGCCGGGCGTGGTGGCTCACGCCTGTAATCCTAGCTCTCTGGGAGGCCGAGGCGGGCGGATTGCTCAAGGTCAGGAGTTCAAAACCAGCCTGAGCAAGAGCAAGACCCCATCTCTACTATAAATAGAAAGAAATTAATTGGCCAACTGATATATATATATAAAAAATTAGCTGGGCATGGTGGCACATGCCTGTAGTCCCAGCTATTTGGGAGGCTGAGGCAGTAGGATCGCTTGAGCCCAGGAGTTTGAGGTTGCTGTTAGCTAGGCTGATGCCACGGCACTCACTCTAGCCTGGACAAAAAAGTGAGACTCTGTCTCAAAAAAAAAAAAAAAAACCTTGATGTTGTCCGGGCGTGGTGGCTCACGCCTGTAATCCTAGCAGCACTCTGGGAGGCCGAGGCGGGTGGATTTGGCTCAAGGTCAGGAGTTCAAAACCAGCCTGAGCAACAGCGAGACCCCATCTCTACTAAAAATAGAAAGAAATTAATTGGCCAACTAAAAATATATAGAAAAAATTAGCCAGGCATAGTGGCACATGCCTGTAGTCCCAGCTACTCGGGAGGCTGAGGCAGGAGGATCACTTGAGCCCAGGAGTTTGAGGTTGCTATGAGCTAGGCTGACACCATGGCACACTAGCCCGGGCAACAGAGCGAGACTCTGTCTCAAAAAAAAAACAAACTTGTTGTCAGAGTTGTTTGGGGTCTAGTAAGCTTTCTTGAATTAACCAAATTTTTGAGGGGATGGTGTGTCAACTAGAATGCCAATTCCTTAAGTCACTGCACCACCCGGTGGGCTAGATGTTTGTGTGGGCACTGGAATCTGTATATTTACAGAGGGTGCTTGAGTGAGCAGGAAATTGGGGCAAGTTGCAAAGCTAATGATCTTGTCATCAACTTACGATAGTCCTCTGTATCCATCTCCACCCCTCCTCCATGCGCAGCCAAGCTCCCAGGACGCGGCACGTTTCCCCACCTCCTCAGCTCACACTGCTCTCCCCACTGCAGTTTGGATTCTTCCCCCACCTTGTCCCTGAAGCTGCCTCCACCTAGGTCATAAAGACTCAGTTTGTTGCTAAACACAGGATTCTTTTAGTCCTTCCTGTTCTTGATATGTCTGCGGCTTCTAGCCCTAAGACAAGCTCTCCTTCCCCTCCGTCTTGGCTACCACCTCTTCCTGTTTTCTCTCCCATGTTTCTAGCTGCTACTTCTCAGGGCCCTTTGCATCTTTCTTTTATCTTGCCAACCTTGCAACTGATACTTTCCCTCCTCTCTTCTCACTCTAGGTGAGATCATGCCTTTAGTTACCACCTACATAGCCTAAAGATTCCCAAATCACTATCTGTGGCTCTAATGGCTTTTTCAAAAAGTTGTAGTAAAATACACACAACATAAAATTAACCATGGGCTATGGTTTGAAAATTTGTCCCCTCCAAAGTGATGTTGAAATTTAATCCCCAATGTGGCAGTATTGAGAGATAGGGAATTTAAGAGGTGATTGGCTCATAAGGGCAGAGCACTTATGGATTAATAGATTAATCCATTCGTGGACTAAGGGATTAATCGGGTAGTGTACTAATGGGTTATCATGGGCGGCACGAAGAGTCGGAGAACAGCCTTTATTCAGGCAGCAGGCTTAGCACAGCAAGTGTTACAGCTCTCTTCTTGGCGCTCGGTTCTTTCCCCGGTCAAGAGCTATAGCACTAGCTGTACACGCTGCAGTAACAATGGTCTCCACATAGCATTGCTTCTGATCACGGAACTCACTTCACAGCAAAAGAAATGTGGCAATGGGCCCACACTCATGGAATTCACTGGTCTTACCATGTTGCCCACCATCCCAAAGTAGCTGGAATGGTGTTTCAAAAACTCAGTTACAGCACTAGCTAGGTGGCAACACATCTATCTGAAAACGTACTAATCCCTTCCCCAGAAGAGGAGGTAAAGTCCTTGAGTAATGTTTATTGTTCTCCAGATAAATAATATGATGTAAAATTAACAATACTAAATACTGATATAAAGTGAATATATTTTATTATAACAACATATTATGTGATAAGACAATAAACGAGGAAAGAAAACAAACATATACATCCAAAAGGCGGTATATGCTCTGACTCAGCATCCAATACAGGGGATTGTTTCTCCAATAAGCTGGATTCACGGTTCCAGGACTCAAGTGGTGGAAAGAGGAGTCACACCACTCACCATTACCACTAGTGACTCCCTAGCAAAAGTTCTGTTTCTGTTCCTATGCTTTTCTGATCTGCTGGTCTAGAGGTCTTAGTTCCAGAGGGAAGAATGCTTCTACCAGGAGACACAACAATGATTTCACAGAACTGGAAGTTAAGACTGCCACCTGGCCATTTTGGGCTCCTCGTGCCTCTGAATCAATAGGCCAAGAAGGGAGTTATGGTGTTGCTTGGGGTGGCGATAAAGGCTACTAAGGGGAAATTCGATTTCTCTTGCCAATGGAGGTAAGGAAGTGTATGTCCGGAATACAGGCGCTCCGTCCGTTAGGGCATCTCTTAGTATTACCACACCCTGTGATTAAGGTCAATGGAAAATTACAACACAATCCAGGCCGGACCACAAATGGCCCAGATCATTCAGGAATGAAGGTTTGAGTCATTGCCCAAATAACAAACCTCAACCAGCTGAGGTGCTTGCTGAAAACGAAAGGAATAAGAATGGGTAGTGGAAGAAGGTAGTTATAAATACCAGGTATGACCAGTTACAGAAATGAGGATTATAATTGATTGTCATGATATTTCCTCCTTATTTTGTGATTAATGTTTGTGTGTATATACACATACCTTAAGCAAATATCTTTGTTTTCTTCCCTCATTTATTCTCTTATCACATGATATATTAATATTATAATTTTTATTCACTTTATATCAGTATATTCTGATATATTCACTTTATATCAGTATTTAGTATTGTTAATTCACTTTATATATTCACTTTATATTCACTTTATATCAGTATTTAGTATTCACTTTATATATTCACTTTATATCACTTTATATCAGTATTTAGTATTATTAAATTCACATCATATTATTTATCTGGAGAACAATAAACATTAGTCAAGGACTTTACCTCCTCTTCTGGGGAAGGAATTGGTACATATTCAGTTGTATAGAAGATCGATGTGTCGTGTTGGGCAGAATTATGATCTTGCTATTGTCTTTATTTGGAGATTAAGTATGGTTTAAGAAGGTGTAATGCATACGGGTGCCAAATTGGCAAGGGATGGACTTGTGATGATAATTTTATGTGTTGATTTGACTGGGCTAAGGGGTGCCCATATAACTGATAAAACATTATTTCTGAATGCGTCTGTCAGGGTGTTTATGGAAGAGATTAATCAGGAGACTCAGTAAAGAAGATCCACCCCAGCAATGTAGGTGGGCATCATCCCTTAAGGTCCTGAATAGAATAAAAATTTGGAGGAAGGCAAATTCACTCTCTTTGAGCTGGGACATCCATATTTTCCTGCCCTCAGACATCAGCATTCCTGGTTCTCTGGTATTTGGACTTGGATAGGGACTTAAACAATTGGCTCTCCTAGTTCTCAGGTTTTATGGTTTAGAGTAGAACTACACCACTGGCTTTCCTGGTTCTCCAGCTTGTAGATGGTAGATTGTGGGACTTCTTGGCTTCTATAATCATGTGAACCAGTTCCTACAACTGGTTCATACAACCCGTTCCTATATATATATATTTTTTTGTTGTTGTTGTTGTAAGAACTGGTTATATATATATATGTATATCCTATTGGTTCTGTTTCTCTGGAGAACCCTGACTTCTACAATAGGTGAAGAACTGTCTCAGGCAATGGAGACAACAAGCAAAGATGCAGGTGTGTGATATAGAATGATAGCTGCAGGTTATACCAGGTGGCTGAAGCACATGAAGTTCAAGGCAAGGAGTGGTCAGAGACAAGGCCAGGTCGCATTTGCCAATAGACTCAGAGGACAGACATTATCATGCAGTCCTGACCAGGGTACCAGTCCTGACCAATAGTTCCAGTATGGAACTATTATACAAGACTAGTTTAAGGTGACCCACAGGCACCAGGGATCAAAATTAAAGAGGAAATGACTGATAACAGGTAAATGTGTTATCCTCCCAGAGTATGTGTGTTGGAATTAAGTGATGAATGGGCCATTCACTAAGTAGATCCTCATCACATGTTTGTTAAATTCAAGCATTAAGATTAAATAATAATATTATTAATAAAATATACACTAAAATATAATATTAATATTAATAAAGCTATGAAATGAGATTATGGGCCATCAGGTATGAGTCAGAGGTTGAGGGCGACGTGTGTGAGGTCAGTTGACTGAGGTTCCAGACACTGGGAACCACTAGTTCTTTCTACTCCCTAAGGAGCAAAAATCCGGAAAGTGAAAGGGGTAGACTCTGGAAGGATGAGGAAGAAAAGACAGCAGGTCAATCAATAGGGGTCAGTACTAGCACAGTGCTAGTGGGGTGAGGGTTCTTGGGATTCATCCTACAGAGAAAACCCTTCCCACACAGAGACCAGGAAGTCCTGCATGTGCCGACACCTAAAGGCCACAGACCTGTGCACCTGCCCACAGAAACCAGTCCCCGACATTACGTGAGATGGCTCTGGATTCTGTTTTTGTTCCTCGTGGCAATGCGTCCCCTGGCAGGACCTTCAGCCTCCCGTGTTCCTCACCAGGTCTTTGCTCTTCCTACCTTTCCTCTGCCCTTCGTCTTCCTGCCGCCTCAACATCATTTTCTTTTTCCTCACTCAGAGTTTTCTGTACTCGATGAACCCGGTCTTTTACTTGCATCCTCCAGGGGTATCTCGGGCCCGTTGCCACCGGCCTTCCAGCGCCGAGCCCCCCTCTCCGCCAGAGCCCACCTCCGTGCCGGACTCTAACCCAGCCTCCCCGGGTCCACGCGCACCGTGACCTGGGCGCGGCGCCCCCGGGCCGGCGGCTCCCCCGGCGTCACTGCGCAGGGCGCCCTGGGAGCCCGCAGGGGCCACGCGGCCCGCCCGCCCGACCTGCGCACGCCCGCCGCTCCGGGCCTCGGCGAAGTGGCTGAGTCACTGCAGGCCGCGGCCCCCTTGAGAAGTTCCTGGCTCCGTCACACGCTCCACTGAAGCAGCTCAGAAAGGCAGGGGAGGAGCTCTTCTCGGGGCTTCGGCCTGTGGGGACGACTCCCGGCCGCGCGGAAGGCCGGCCGCGGTCGGGCGGGCCCGGTGAGCCGCTGGTTTCCCTGTGCTGCCACCTCGCGGCGCGTTGGAGAACTGCAGCCCTGCCGGGGCGGAGGCCGTGGGCCTAGGTGCGCCAGGGTGACCCGGATGAGGTTGCACTTGAGACAGAAGGTGACAGTAACAGGTCGTCAGCGAAAGAGAAGCGTGCAAGCCAGAATCCTGGGAACCCTCCACTTCCAACCCTTTAGCAAGTCCTCTCAATTCGAAATCGAAAATCCCCCTTCACCTCCTCCCTGAATATCTGCGTTCCCGCCCTCAATCCCTTCTTCATGTAGCAGCCCACTTAAGTCCTTTGGCTTAAACCCGGCGCCCAGCACAGGGCCCCCGCCAGGTCTGGCAGCTCCTCGCCCAGCACCCTCTCCTCGTCTCCCACGTCAGCACACAGATCTTCAGTTCCTCACGCGCTGCAAGCTCCTCCTTACCTTCAGGACTTTGCTTCTTCGTGGTTCCTTCTGGCAAACACACTCTTCCTTCTCTCCCCCTCTGTCCAATTCGGTCCGTCCTTCCTTCAAAGGGCAGCTCTTCAGGGAAAGTCTCCACGCCCTGCAGATAACAGATCCTTTACCATCTACTCTAAAATTTCTCAAGCTTGTCCTTCATGGCAAGCATCACAGTTTGACTACATATGTGCACATTCACTTGATTAATGTCTCTTTCCCCTCAAGCTGTAAATGCAATATCACTAGTACCTAGCATGGGACCTGGCATGCAGGAAATGCTGAAGAAATATTTGTGGAATGAATTTGAATGGACCTGTGGACTTCTTTCATGCAAGAAGTGAACAATCTGGTTCACTCAGTGAATATAGAGGTAACGCCCCACAACAGGAGTAGAACAGGGACAGGATTTCCCCAGCCACTTCACGGGATGCTTTAACCACAGTGGTGTCTCTTCCTGAGCCTTCCTGGACTGTGTCACTGGAAATTCAACATCTCCTGCCGCCTGGGTTGGGGGTGGTAATCACTGCTGGGGGAAGGGAGGCTCCTGGCCCAGCCAGGCGAATGGGGAAAGATCGTGGAGAGAGACCATCAAAGTCAGAAGGACACAGGACAAGTGACCTCTAAAATCTTGAAGGCCCTGATAATTTCTCCAGGTCTCAGAGTGGACGATGATGTTTATACAATGGGCAGAATCAGACACCTACTTGAGTAGCCACACCCTGAGACTCAGTTGGATTCACTCCCTCGGTGACTTTAGGAAATTGCTGTCCTCCAGGAGGTCATACCTGCCCTCGATTCCCGGGGGCACCCTAAAGGCTCCCTGTTAGGCACTCCGTTACTGGCCAGCTTCCAAGGTCAGTGGAACCCAGTGTGAAAGCAGCTGGAGTCAAAGCCATACCACTGTGGAGCTGGCCGGGCAGCGGAGTGTGGGGAAGCTGCCCTGTGTGGTCCCTCAGTGACCGCTGTGGCAACATAGGTACTTGTGGTGGTCACTTGTTTTTTCTAATTGCCTGGCACCCATTTCCCCTTTATTGGAAACAGCACCCCAATTTCTTTTTTGTAGAGTTAACCTTCTCTCCCTAGAGGAACTCTTGGTGGGACAATCAAGGGACTTTTCCCTAGAGCCAAGAGGTGGGAACATTATCTAGGCCAGACCACTCAGACTCCCTCCTGAAACTGTGAATCTTGCATCATCAGAAATGAACCCTTGGAGCAAACCCATCTCCTCAGCAACTCTCAGATGAAACAGTTGACCGGTTTCTGTTGTTCCTGTCCCATTTCAAGGCTGGATCTCCAGCCTCCTGTCTCCTCTGTGAGGTACCTGAGGGTGCTACAACACATTCTCCTTTTATTTGATTAGCTGAAGTCAGGTTTTGTTGCTTGCGACCAACAAACTGTGATGAATTATCATCTGGTTCATAATTTCCATTTGAATGACTACAGATGGTGGGCAAGAGTACAAAGACTTGAATAGTAGCTGCCAAAAAAGGAATGGCTGGAAGCATTTGGGATGTAGTCCATAATAGTCTGTGGGGGCTAAACAGGTGGGCACTAGTTGGGGAGGATAGGGGAGAGAACTGGAGGAATTCAGTACACTATCTTGCTGAAATTCTTTCTTACCAGTAGGAATGAACCAGGGGCACATAAGCAAGGAAAGTCAGAGGTGAAGCCCAGGAAATTCATATTCCATGGAACTTTGGGACTGGAGAATGTGCAATGATCCTCAGATTGGCTCAGGCACAGATGTCAGAGGTGGTGCTGCGATATGGGATGTCATTGGGCAGATGACTGAGAAAAAACACCCCTTTCTAAAAGGGAAATCTGACCCTTTTTGCTGCCAGATTCTGAGAGAAATAGGCACGGAAAGGCCGCTGGGCTAGAGAAGCCATGAGTTCTCAACAATGCGAGGCCAGGCTGAGTCAAGACAAGGGGACCACCGCAGAGGTGGTAGGTAGTTGGCAGTGCTGGGGACAGGAGCCTGAAGTGAAATGAGAAGTATGAGTCCTCAGGAACACAGCTCTCCTGCTGTCTTAAGCCCTCAGCACGCTGCTCCATGAGTAGCTGGTTGCAAAAAAGCTTGTGAGTCACACCCTCTCCTCAGAGGGTATGTGTTGGCCATGTAGACCTTCATAGGTGCAGCCTGGTCATGTTGGAGGCTTGCTCTCGCAGACCAAGGCTTGCTCCACAATCTCCCCGTGTCCTGAGTCCATAGTGCTTTCATCTGAAGGCAGAACCTACCCTCCCTCTCCCCCTGCCTGCCCTCAGAGCTCCAGCAGACTGTGGAGCCTACCACCATGGCTGCAGCCTGGTGACCAGGGTCAGGGCCAAGGATGCCGGCATCAGACCCATCCCACCCTCTGCAGTCAGCAGGGGGAGGGAGCTAGAGGTTGTGCAGCAGGGATCCTGAGAAGGTGCGCTTCAGGGATCTCAGCTGTAAGCAGCAGAGACCAATTCTAGCAATTTAGAGTGGGAAACACACTGAAAAGATATTGGGTAGCTCATAGAATTGCTAGAAGGCCTGGAAAATGAGATCTGAAGGAGACACAAACAGAAACAAAGACCCAGCCTACTGCTGGCACACTGACACGGCCAGTGCTGGACAGTGGACACCAAGGCCACCACCGCTGACACGTGTGACACTGGAGGTGGGATGTTGCTGCGACACTGTCACAACCAGACAGGATCTCCATGCTTCTGTTTCGCTGACTTCTGGGTCTGACTCTAGTGCAGTGCTTCTGATTGGCTGATAAAATAGAAAGTGGCCAGGTGCGGTGGCTCACGCCTATAATCCCAGCAGTTTGGGAGGCTGAGGTAGGAGAATCTCTTGAATCCAGGAGTTTGAGACCATCCTGGGCAACATAGCGAGACCCCCATCTCTACAAAAAATAAAAAATATCCAGGCATGGTGGTGTGCACCTGTAGTTCTAGCTACTCCAGAGGCTGAGGCAGGAGGATCACTTGTGCCCAGGAGTTCAGCGTTACAGTGAGCTACCGTCAGGGCACTGCATTCCAGCCTGGGCAACAAAGCGAGACTCTGTATCAAAAATGTAAGAAAGAAAGAAGGAAAGACAGAGAGAGAGAGAGAGAAGGAAGAAAAGAAAGAATAAAAGATGACGGAACTCTCCTCCACCTTCATTTAATCTTATTCTTTAACTTTTCTTTTAACATCAGAACTCTTCCATATGTATTTTTAAAAGAAGATCCATTGGCTACCACCCCGCAGTAGCTGCCGGTGCTCTGCCCGGATCCCCGCCCTGCTGTGCCTGAGGGTTGCTGGCATGTCACGGTGCTCTCCCGCTCCCCCCTTCTCAGGACACCTGCCTTTGGCCGAGATGAGCTGCCCTGCTGGGAAGTTACAGAAATCATGAGCCCTTGCCCCCCCCCCCCAGGAGGAGGGGGCCAGTTCCAGCCAATCATTGACCAATACAGAGGTACAAAAGTGGGCCCCTTGTCCCAGGGCAGGTTGGGTTCTAGAGCCCTCCCCTGTTAGACTTTACCTGAGACCACATCCTGGCTTGGTGTTCCCTGTCCCTGTCTGGCTTCTCTGCCTCCCTTCCAGGCCTTTCCTGAGAACTGAGCAGCAATGAATCACAAGCAGATGCTCCCGGTCTCAGGTTCCGCTTCTACACAGCAGGGCCTCGGGCACACCTTTTCGGACCTGGTCATCATTGTGCTCTCTTCCCTTCCATTCTGAGCCCTGTGGTCTAATTGTCTCCTCTTCTGCTCCCTGGGAAGACAGGTAGAAAGGCTGGAGCCTCCTGCCTAGTGCCTTAACCCAACAGCCATGCGGATGACTGCAGGGTGTGATAGCCCCGTGAAGAGGTGCTGTGGGGCGATCTGACCTAGTTAGGACTTCAGCGACGTGTCCCTGCAGTGATATTAAGCTTTGATTCAAAAAATGAGTAAAAGTGTGAGGTGAGGAGAGAGTAGCATTGCTGGTGGGGGGAGCACACACAGGAGGGAATACGGAGATGATAGGAGGCCACAGGGAGGCCAGTGTGATGGAGGCAGGGAAATCAAAGGCTGGCAGAGCTCACGGAGGCTGCAGGGATGGGTGAGGACCAGAGCCGGCTGGCTTGGCTGTTTAAGGAATCTGGTCTGTGTCCTAAGACAAAAGGAAGCATTGGAAGGTTTTATGCTCATGGGAAGGGAGTGAAGTGACAAGATCCATTTGCAGTTTGGAAGATTTCTCTGGCTGCAATGTGGAGAATGGGTCCTTTTGTCTAGGACACAGACCAGATTCCTTAACAGCCAACAGCCCGCTCTGTTCTCACCCAATCCCTGCAGCATTGGATGTCCAAATGAGTCTCCTGGCATTAAGAACACTAAAGGTCCCAGAAACTCAACCTTACAAAGAAGACGCCAATGAACCTGATTCAAATGTGAACGCAGAGAAAACAGGTAAATTACACAGTGCCACGCTCCGCTCTGTGCGGCTGGTGCCAGGGAGAATAAAGGTCCAAGAACTGCTGGTGTAGGGGGGCACATAGGTGCACGCCTCTTTGGATAAGTCATCATGAAGTCCTCTCCCAAGACCGACGAAGTCACACACTGCGGGAACAGCCCACCACAAAGCCCGAGGCATTATGCAAGCTTCCTGCACATTGAGAGTAAATAAGACCCATGGTGTAACACAGAAGTGGAGTAGGAGAGCACAGATTGAAATAATGGGAAGGGGCCACCTCACGCAAGCCTTCGAGGTATAGTCAGATTGCTCTTTGTTCCAAGGCAATGACACCCAGAAAGGTTTTTAAGCTAGTGTTGACTGATCAGAGCACTCTGGCTGCCTCCAAGAGAATGGATGAGAGAAGGGGGCTTTGAGCCCATTAGCCACAATTGGCATGGAATAGCCACAAAGCCAATTGAAAATCTAAGGGAATGCCCAAAAAAGGAAAAACACTTGATTTTGGCAATAAATTTGATTGGGACTCAGGAAACAGTAGGAAAATAAAAGAGATAGACCAATTGGTGAAGCAGTCACTGCGATCTGAGACAGGCTTTGTCCAGTCATCGTGGAGCCAGCAGTCGCGTTCACCTAGACTTACGGGCTATTTCTTTCTCTATCGAAGGACTTTTTAGCTGAAGAAAATTAATTTCCCTCAAAGCAAATGACATTTATATTTTAGCAGTCAAATTCCATGATTTTATTAAGTCAGAGGAAGTAAGAAAGGATTAAACAAGGATGGCAGAGTGAACTGCTCCAAATAAAGGCAGCTCAATCCTTTTTCCCTGGAGTGGGGGCCACCCCACCCTGCCCACCCCTGCCCCTCTTCCCACACCTCGCTCATTTGCCCTCAACCCCCCTCCCACCACTACACTGACCAAATATAATGAGCCAGGCCCATGGAAGGGAAACTGTTGTCATATTAAATCGCAACCGGTTGAAAGAATGCAAAACATGTCCAAGGAGTCAGCCCCTTTTCTTGAGGACAATTGTACTAATACTATGATAACAGTCTTGCTCAGAGGTCCGCGCAGAGCCGGCCAGTTCTCCCCAAGTATTCCTCATCCCCAGTCACCGGGAAACCAGAAAACCAGTTGATCCTTGACATCTTTTGGCACCTCCCCCCCAAACCTCTATAAACTTTATAAACACCAGATTCTGTTGCTCAGGAACTCCTAAAATCCCCAAGCTCTAACCTCTCCTCACCCCACCTGTCCACCAACCCGTTTTCTTCCCTGCACTTCGAAACACAATCTCTCAATGGCTGCCCCCTCAATCATAGTCATGTTCCATCATCAGCCAGAGAAAGTCTCCAAAACTGCAAATGGATCTGTCACTTTCACTTCCCTTACCCATAGACATAAACCTCCAATCTTCCTTTGTCTAGGTACACAGACCTAATCCTTAATGACATCCAGCCAGCCGGCTCTTGTCCTCACCCATCCCTTGCATGCCCCCGTAGTCTTCTGCCAGCCTTTGATTCCCTGCCTCCATTCACAACTGCTCCCTGTGGCCTCCTTCATCTCCGTATTCCCTCCTGTTGTGCTCTACCCCTATCCAGCAATCACTCCTCCTCACCTCACCACTTTTACTCCATTTTTGAATCAAAGCTAACTCACGCAGGACACGTCGCTAATCCAACAGCAATCCCCCAACAGCACCCTTCATGGGGGGCTATCACACCCTGCAGTCATCCGCAGGCGTTTGGGTTAAGCACTAGGCAGGAGGGCGCCAGCCTTCTACCTGTCTTCCCCAGGAGCAGGAAGAGGAGACAATTAGACCACAGGCTCAGAATGGAAGGAAAGACAACAAGAAATACCAGGTCGAAAAGTGTCCGAGCCCTGCTGTGTAGAAGCGGAACCTGAACCTGGGAGCATCTGCTTGTGATCATTGCTCGCTCAGTCTCAGAAAGGCTGAAGAGCAGAGAAGCCAACGGGACAGGTAACACACAAAGCCAGATTTGGTCTCAAGTAAGTCTAACAGGGAGCTCTAGAAACCAAACCTGCCCTGGGACAAGGCCCAGCTTTGTAACCTCTGTATTGGCAACGATGCTGGAACCTGTCCCTCCTCCTGGGGGGCAAGGCCATGGATTCTGTAACTTCCAGCGGGCAACTCATCTCGTCAAAGCAGGTTCCTGAGAAGGGGGGGAGCGGAGACACCCGCACATGCCATCAACCCTCAGGCACAGCAGGCGGGATCCGCAGAGCACCGGGGCAAGCACTGCGGGGTTAGCCAATGATCTTCTTTTAAAAATACATATGATAATCTGATGTTAAAAGAAAAGTTAAAGAATAAGATAAATGAATGGAGGAATTCCGTCATCTTTATCTTTCTTCTTCCTTCTCTCTCCTCTCTCTCTTCTTTCCTCTTCTTCTTACAATCTTTTATAACAGATCTCCTTTTTTTGCCTCAGCCGGAATGCAGGCCCTGACGTACTTCACTGGGGTAACGCCTGACTCCTGCACAATTGATCCCTCCTGCCTCTAGCCCTCTGGAGTAACTAGAACTAACAGGTGCACACCAACATGCTGGAATATTTTTTTATTTTTGTAAAGGATTGGGGGTCTCGCTATGTCCAGGAGGTCCAAACTCCTGGATTCAAAGATTCTCCTACCCGTCACCTCCCAACACTGGCGGGATTAGTAGGCTTGACCACCGCACCTGCCACTTTTTCTATTTATCAGCCAATCAAGAAGCACTGCACCAATGCAGACCCAGAAGTCCAGCGAAACAGTAACCCATGAGATTCCTGTCTGTTGTGACAGTGTCCAGCAACATCCCCACCCCCAGGTCACAGTCGTGTCACCGTGTGGCCTGTCACTGTCCAAGCAACCTTGCCGTGTCAGTGTGCAGCAGTAGGGGTGGGTGGGCTGTTCTGTTTGTGTCTCCTTCCTTTTCGCATAACTCATTTTCCAGGCCTTCTAGCAAATCTATGATACCCAAATACTTTCAGTGTTTTCCCAACTCTAAATGGCAGAAGTGGTTCCTCGTGTCTTTACAGCTGAGACCCTGAACACACTTTCTCCCCAGGATCCCTGCTGCCACCTCTAGCTCCCTCCCCCTGCGACGCAGAGGGTGGGATGGGGTCCTGAATGCGGCATCCCTGCCCGACCCCTGTTCACCAAGGCTGTCACCATGTGGTAGCTCCACAGTCCCTGCCTGGAGCTCGAGGCAGGCAGGGGAGAGGAGGTAAGGTCGCTCCAAATGAAAGCACTATGGACTCAGGACACGGCGGAGATTGCTGGAGCAAGCCTTGGTCCGAAGCCAACCCCCAACATGACCAGGCGCACCTATTGTAAGGCTACCTGGCCTTGAACACATACCCGTCTTAGGAGAGGGTGTGACTCCACAAGCTTTTTTGCAACCAGCCACCATGGAGCCACCGTGCTAGGGTCTCAGACTAGCAGGAGACTGCCTCGAGGACTCCATCACTTCTCCATTTCACTCAGGCTGGTCCACGCCACTGCCAACTACCTACCACCTCTGCGGTGTCCCTCCCTTGCTGACTCCCAGCCCTGCCTCCGCATTGTGAGAATGATCTTCATGGCTCCTCTACGCCAAGCGGTTTCGGCCTTCCGTGCTTATTCTCCTCCAGAATCTGCCACCAAAAAGGGCAGATTTCCTTTTAGAAAGGGAGTTTTCTCATCTCATCGCCCCAATGACATCCCAACCCATCCTATCATCACCGACTCATGACCATCGGCCCTGAGCCAATCGAGGATCAAATTGGCACATTCTCTCAGGTCCCAAAAGTTCCATGGAATAGAATTTCCTGGGGGGGTGGGTGGGCTCACCTTTCCCCGACTCCTTGCTTGGCCTGTCATCTCCTACTGGTAAAACAAAGAAATTCAGCCAAGATAGTGTTATCTGAATCCTCCAGTTCCCCCTATCCTCCCAAACTAGTGGGCCCAACCTGTTTAGCCCACATTGTTGAACCTATTATCCATATCCCAAAGCTTCCACCATTCCTTTTTGGCACTACTATGCAATCTTGTACTCCTGCCCACTCCTAATCCTGTAAGTCATTCAAATGGGAAATTTAAGAAACCAGAAGAAACAATCATTCACATTTGTCCAGCAACAAAACCTGGACTTCAGCTAATAAAAAATTAAGGAGAATGTTGTTGTTAATCAACCCCCTCAGGACCTCCACCAGAGGAGATCCAGGAAGGGCTGGAGATCCAGCCTTGAAAGGAACAGGTTGGAACAACAAAACCGGTCCAACCCTGTCCATTATCCCTGAGAGTTGCCTGAGGAGATGGGTTTTGCTCAAGGTTTCATTTCTGAGGAGCAAGAATTCACAGTTTCTAGGAGGGGTTGAGTCGAGTGGTTCTGGCCTAAAAATGAATATTTTCCCACCTCTTCTCTAGGAAAAGCCCTGAATTGCCCCCACAGATGATTCCTCCTAGGAGACAGAAGTTATACTCTAAAAAAAAGAAATGGGGTGCTGTTTCAACAATAAAGAATGGGTGCCAGGCAATAGAAAAAACAAGTGACTTATACACCAACAGTACCATGTTGCCACAGGCGTGGTGTCACTGAGGGACCACACAGGGCAGCTTCCCCCCACA